TCTTCATTTTAACASRTTRAATTGGTCAGMTGGGATGTGAAACCCACTTTTTCCACAATGTGGAGTAGCAACATATCTTCAGTAACACAAAATGCACACATCACATCACACGYCATCGCATGACATTAATTGCAGCAACTGAAAATTGCCAAATATTAATTGTTGATAGTTCTTTCTGACGGTTAATTGCACATGATTTGGTTTTTCCCAACCCCAGTCAGCTTTGAGTCCAATAAAAAATTCCACCTTTGGATCATAAGGTTTTGTATTTTAAATATACTGGTTTGGCATATAAACTAAAGTTTATGCTGAATTAAATTACTCACTAGTTTTAGTAATTGTGTGCTTTCATTTGAAGTTTTTTAATTTATCTTTTACTTGTCGATATGATCTAGTACTCTGCTAATAGACCCCATAAATCACTGAACTKGGCAAAACAAGCAGCGTGGCCTAGAAAGGTAGTCATCCCTGCYTGAAAACCACACAGGATCCATCACCACGTCACACAAGTCTCTGAGGAGAGATCCTGAAGGTGGAATTGACGCACATTTGCTCCGACAAGACGCTGCTGCTCTTTCGTGTTAATTGGTCCATTACAGAGAGTGATGGAAGGTGATGCTCAGTTGTAGTAAATCGTCCATTTTTAAATTTTATTATTATTTTTGTTTGGTGTGACAGCAAGTCTGATGGATCAGATTTATTGTGTCTATGATGCAAAACGGAACCACTGATGCGTGAGGCTGCAACTGCTGGTGTCYAGTTGACAACACAAAATTGCTGGAAAATGAGCTTGTTTTTTGTTGCAGCCTCATTGAATTCTGAGTGTTTGATTTAAATGACCAGCAAGCTGTGTGGTTGCGTTTTGAGTGTTTAAATTTGAAACTGCATTCTTGGCCRTGCACATTATTTTGTTTTCCCACTTATGTACCCACCTCAGCTTACTTTTACTTTAGCAGCTATACTCCCACATTTATGGTTTACTMTATTGGAGAGCACTTTTGAAATAACAATAGACAAATCTGTACAAGGTTTTCAGTAATTTATCATCTGAGGTTTTTAGATTTGGACATTTGCTTCTGAGGATAACTCCCATAAAGGAGTCATAAAGGAAAAAAAAACACACCTCTTGTGCTTTTGACAAGTTTGAGATGCCCTCATCAACTATATATATACATAGAGGGGTGGGACTTTAAATCTGTAATGCAGCCAGTGGATCAGGGTTTGATTTTCCYTTTAGTGGCTTCATCATCTTGTTTCTGGTTCTGTATGTATAATGTATGTCACTGGGTGAACCTTCAATCAATACATCTAAACTTAGCCCAAAAAGTAARGATATGTGTATTTGGTAGATTATTTCTTTGTTGTAACAAAGTTTCTTTACTATAAATCTTATACCAAGAACCTGATTTGCAGCCCCAGAAGCTCAAAACAAGAGTCAATGGCAACAGCAAAATAAGCTGTTTGGCAGAGAAGATTTGACAAATTTTTCATGTGTTCATCCCATATACTCGGCTCTACTGCTCATCCCACAAATGCATGTTCCTTATAAATGTGGCGCCATTTAAAAAGGAAATTAACAGGCGGTATAAGATTTATTGCCAAGAAGAATTGTTACAACAAAGAAATAATCTACCAAACACCAATTTCCTTACTTTTTGTCCTGTCCATTTTAAAACACTGTRTGTTAAGGCCCTGTCACATTCTAACGTTTTAGACAACTTATGCAAACATATGAAAAGTTCGTTCAACACTAGAATATTGAAGATGATGCGGTAGAGCAACTCTGTAGTTCCTTTAAAAACAATTGAACCRCAAAAAGGATTGCTAAAGTTAGTTCCTTCTGTTTGTTTTGTGATTGATACAAGGCAGACGTCTATAGATTTTTTTTCACCCCGCTTGTCACTGGATGTAGAAGGAGGCTTGTGGAGCCCAGCAGGTGGTTGCTGGCTCAAGGTGCCGACTCAGCAGTGYACGAAGCTGGTGCTGTGAGACAATGGAGGACAGAATGGGTCCAGTTTCTAAGTAGAAAAGTGATGTTAGCAGCACCATTGCTAACATGGGCTAATGTTCAAAGCAGTAACAAACTTTCATCGTAGTGTTCCAAGCCCTGACTTGCTGCAGGGGGTGAGATGCTTTTATACCCAAACACAGGAGCTGTGACGTAAGCTTGGTACAAGTTTACATCATAGGAGCTGTGACGTAAACTTGTACCAAGCTGTGCTGTTTTAATCAATAGGAAMATTCAACTGCAGTAGCCACCGCTCAACCCATAGAGGGCAGCYCTAAGAATATTTTAGACCAAATATTATAGAAACAAACAAATTTATAAAAAAATGTCAAAATTTGCACARAAATATAAAGATAATACACTTAAGGTACATTTTAGACAGTTTATCTGCAGAAAAAGTTGAATTGGGGTTTAGTTACCTTTTTAACCTCTTAACTTTTTACTAAAAAGCTGTCAAATTGTTCATAATGACYTAAAGACACACTCACTCACTGCTACTCAGACATGGATACTCAAACACCACTATACTCAAGTATGAAACCTCCAAACAAGACTTGTTTCAATGAAGTATTTACTTATTTTTGGGCACAGAAGTGCAGAAAGGTTGTATGTCAGTGCCTGGCGGGGAGCTGTGGTTGGKCCAAAGAGGGACAAAGTTGGGGTCTGTGGTGACCGGGTGACACAGTTGAAGATTGTGCTGTTAAAGGCTGGAGGTGGAGAAAYGGTGATGGAAAGCAATAGTTCTCCTGCAGTTCTGCTCATCTGGGACTAGTCTCCTCTTTGTCACTTTTTTCTTGTGTTTTTTTTCCTCTCTTTGTCCCCACTGATCTCTTTTACGTTGGTACCTCTTTTTTCATGGACTTGAGTGTCAAACCTTTCCCTTGGTCTCATCTGGTCTCTTGCACTTTTTATTTTCAGCAAGCTCTGTTTGGATGCTACTTTTCAAAGCAAAATACTTCTTCTTCCACTCGTCCGCCTTCTGTTGCGCCTTGCTCAGCTTTTTGGTGTTCTCTCTTTCTTTCTYGTTGAAGATGTCCTGCAGTTGCATTAACTCGCTTTTGTGGTTCTCCTCAGCTTYTTGAAGCTGGGACTGCAGTCTGGTCTCACTCTTGCTCACTTTCAGCATTTCCTCTAATGTCTTTTCGTAGTTCTTCTCTGCTTCTTGAAGCTGGGAGTGCAGTCTTGTCTCTCCATCCATGAATCCCCAAATTTTCTCACTTTGACTCAGAAAACCTTCTTCTAGGGTGGTAAAAGTAGACATGAGAATGTCTTGGACATCTTTGAACATTGCTTTTTCCTTATCTCGCTCTTGTTTTTCTTTAAATAATTTGTTCACGCAGGCCACATTCCGTWTTTCTGACCTGTATAAATTGGCCAAAAAAACTTTGGAAGCATTTATTTGTTCATCAAGGTTTTTCTTGAGGCTCTGGATTTCTGCTGTCTGCTTTTTATTCTGACACCAGATATTGGGTTTTTTTTACTTAAGGAGTTTGATTTTATTAATTGCCCTCCAAGTCCTTTGACTTGTCAGCATACCTTGAATTTTTTAATTGAATTGAATTAGATCCATTGAAATGTTGTATGCACTGTTGAGTGACCAAGAATTAAATCTTACCTGAAGATTGTCTAAGGTTCAGAGGCACCTTGGGAGTTGAGAGACGATGTCTTTTCATTGTCCCTCTGTCTTTCTTTTGTCGATGAAYCATAGTGGATCGTTGATTTAACAGTGTACAACTTTGAGGGATAGCAAATATTTAAGTGTGTTGTTTYTATTGCAATGAAATGCACAATTCTTTAAATCTGTTGAAATTACACATTTTAAAACCTCAGAAACCATTGTCACAACAACTTTAAACCCTTAAATTCTACAYGTTCTGTCATTCTAAAAGCTTGGACTGTTACTGACCAACAGTAGATATTTAAAACTTTTACTCAACTACACAGAACATAAGATCTGAGAAATTAGACGCCCAAGTGAAGGTTTTAATCAAAATATTTTTGAGTTTTAGTAGACAGATGTGGAAATTGCATGCCACAGACTGCCTAAATTATTATGAAATTGCTTGATTGTCGAATAAGTTAAATTAGGAAAAAAAGATGGTAGCTGTTTTTTCAAGGTATTACAAACATTAAGTCACGCAATAGTTGCTTCTTTTGGTTTTATTATTTTATCTACAATTATTTGTAAGGGTTCAACACACCATTTTGCACCTGCTTGTGTTTAGCTGTAACATTTTAATCTTAAAATCAGGATCTGAGCTGAACAAGTAAAATGGCCAGTCCAGGAAAAATCTACAAAACGCACACAAGAAGGTAAAAAGTTAAGGAAAATTGATAATTTTTAGGACAGACTCAGCAGAATAATGGCCATTATCAACATTCTTTGAATTATAACCTCTGCGTGGTAACATTTGGTGCAGATATCAGAAATGTAGTTTTGTGTATATTTGCCAACCCATGCACCAACAGACAGACCAATTGACTGGTTGACGATGAACCAGTTAAACAAACAATCATTGATCCATTTAACCAATTGGACAAGCAGCACATCAAKAAGTCTTGTGAAGCTGTCTTAAAAAGTAGTAGGGATGTGGCCTAGTACATATGGCAAGGTCTGGGTCAATGACTGATGGACMAAAAGACAAGTCAACCAACCAAACAATTAGTTGACCTACTTACAGRCAAGTTAACCAACCAACCAATTAATCAACCAACAGACAAATTAACCAATTAAMCAAATACTTGACCAGTCAACCGACSGACCAATCAACAAACAAACCAACGAACCAGCAGACTAGTCAATGAGCTAGTTGATCAATAGGCAGACCAGTTGATCAACTGTCCGACAGCTCACCCAACCAATCCAAACATTCATTCATTCTTGCGTCTGTCCTCTTTTTGTTCACAAATACAGAATCCACAAATGTCCTTTAATTGCCCTTTTAATATTAAGGTTTGAAATTGTCATGTTTATTATTTTTTCTGTCTTCAGGCTCAGCTCAGAGAGCTCCAGCAGGCTGCTGAGGATCTGCAGATCAAGTTAGAAGAACACAGGAGGAGGAAACATGAYGCCGACCGATTCAAAGAACAAACAATAAAGTCGCTGGAAGTTGGAATTAATGGTAAGAGTAATTCTGCGTTTAGAGTCAACTTAAAGACAGTCATTTCATAGAATTGCTACAGCTTATACTGTATGTGTGTATGTATGTATATATATA